GTGTGTGTGTAGATAGATAGACAGATAGATAGATAGATAGATAGACAGACAGACAGACAGACAGACAGATAGATAGATAGATAGATAGATAGATAGATAGATAGATAGATTTCAAAGAGGGAGAGAGAGATAGAAACATCCATGATGAGAGAGAATCATGGATCGGCTGCCTCCTGCAAGTCCCCCACGGGGGATCAAGCCCACAACGCGGGCATGTGCCCTTGACGGGAATCGAACCTGGGACCTTTCAGTTCGCAGGTCATCGTTCTATCCACTGAGCCAAACTGGCTAGGGCCCGACTTCTAAGATCCGGACTAGGAAGGGAGAGTGGACGGATGGCAGGGGAAGACCGCCTCTGCGCTGGCCCGGGTCGCTCGGGCCTCGGTGCCCTTGAGGCGGCCTGAAGCCTCCGGCTGCCGGGCTGAGCCCCGGTTCTCCCAGCCCCCAGCGGCTTCCCCACATCTCCCTGCTGCCTGGGAGATTTTCCGATGGAAGTCTGCCTCTCCCCGCCCGACTTTAATAAAAGCTTGGAGGAAGGGCAGGGAATTCCTCCCGGCTCAAGTTACACCTCTCCGCCAGTTCCCCACCTGCTCTTCCCTTGCTCCTCGCCTGGCCAGGGAAAGCTGCAGGGAGCCGGGTGCTGGCAGGAGGTGGAGCGGGAACCCAGCCCATGCCCGGTCAGGCTGCCCCCCCCCCATTCATAGGGGCAGGCACTCAGGGGGCTTCTGCGGGTGGGGCTTGCCCCTCAGCCTGTGAGCCAGGTACCCAGTGAAGTGTCTGGACCCACCTGCCACTCTCTGGAGGGGAGAGCTAAAGGATGGCCAGTCACAGACCCGCCCTGGAGCCGCTTTTAATCCACTAAGGCAGCGGTTCTCGACCTTCCTAATGCCGCGACCCTTTAATACAGTTCCTCATGTTGTGGTGACCCCCACTTTCATGGTGACAAATTGAACATAATTAAAGCATATTGATTAATCACAAAAACAATATGTAATTATAGATGTGTTTTCCGATGGTCTTAGGCGACCCCTGTGAAAGGGTCATTCGACCCCCAAAGGGGTCGCGACCCACAGGTTGAGAACCGCTGCACTTAGGAATGGCATGGCGGCACAGGAAGTGATTACGGACCACGTGGGAATTTGGTGGCCGTGCATGATGAAGTGTCATCTTAGATGGCCAGGCAATAGGTCCTGGGACCTGTGGTCTGTAGGACTTCCTTCTCTCCTTCCTTTGCTTCTGCTCCTCTATCACCCCCTCCTCTCCCTCGGCCAGACAGGGGTCACAGACATGGCCCTCAGCCTTTGGTGGCATTAGCTAGAGATTCTGAGGTGATCTGCAGCTTCTCTCTGGGGGAGAATTTGGGGTTGGCCGTTGCTGGAAGAGACGTAGGGGGCCCAACGTGGAAACCAAGGTGGATGGAGGGCTAGAGACAGGGGGCTTGTCCCTGCTCCTGGGATTGGCTTTGGGGTACAGACTGTTCCTTGGAGTTGCACCAAGTTTGGCCAGATCTAGGCCCAAAGAGTTGAATGGCTTCATCAGCCAGTGCATTTGCCAGGAGGCTTGGGGACAATTGTCCATGCTCTCCGAGAGCAGCCTCTGAGACTCGTGGGCCTGGCCTGCACCCTGTGTCCAGAGCCTCCCCCCCCGCCCTAGGGAAGGGCTCTGGTCCTCGCCCCAGAACCCCAGAACTCCAGGCTTCAGGTCGGGTCATGGCAGGCGCCTTCTCTGAGCATCCTGGTACCTGAGCCAAGGCCAGCCCCTCCCCCTCCAGGCAGAAACCACAGGAGTTTCACTAGACCGAGGAATCAGGCAGGAGTCTGGCATCTGCTAGGAGCTGGCAGGCACCTGCAACCTGCCAAGCCCCTGCCTGGAGGAGGCTGTCTTTCTTTTTTTTTTCTTTTTAAATATATTTTTATTGATTTTAGAGAGGAAGGGAGAGGGAGAGAGAGAGAGAAACATCAGTGATGAGAGAGAATCATTGCTGCCTCCTGCATACCCCACACTGGGGATTGAGCCCACAACCTGGGCATGTGCTCTGACCGGGAATCAAACTGTGAACTCCTGGTTCATAGGTCAGTGCTTAACCAGTGAGCCACACCAGCCAGGCAAGGCTGTCTTTCTTGAAGAAGCCACCACTGAGCCCTGACCGGTTTGGCTCAGTGGATATAGCGTCGGCCTGCGGACTCAAGGATCCCAGGTTCGATTCTGGCCAAGGGCATGTACCTTGGTTGCGGGCACACCCCCAG